AGTTGTTTAATATCCATTTGGTGTACTATTAAGTTATACATATTGGCTATTAAATTTAGTATCGTAATGGATATAATTCGAGTGACTAGTGAAAAAGTATCGAAGAAATCTATACTTTCCCTTTGGCTACAAGGAAAGTCTTGTATTTATCAATTGTTCCATCGGGTTTTAGTTTTTTTAAAGACCCATATACAACCGATTGGTTTGCAACCAGGAGGCAAGTCTACTAAGTGCCAGGTCTTGTTAGATTTCAGAGAATATATCTCATCATCAATAACTTCTACCACAAATTTACATCCAAATATGACAAGGCTTCTTGAAGATTTATTTGGATCTTCTTCTACATCATAAGACATATATTCGTGCTCATAGTCTTTATCAACTCTTACTATTTTACTTCATCGAAGTTTTGTTTCTACTTTGTCGTTGCTCTTTGTGGTTCTTATCACATGAATGTGATTCGATTTCTTTCCCTCACTATTTTTCAATTTGAAAGAAAATTTTTCTTCATAGAATTCAGTGTCATTTGATTTTATGATCATTTTAGCATTTAGGTTATAAAACCTATATGCATTATTATTTGTTACATAGCCAATGAATACACATTCATATGCTCTATTAGCAAGCTTGACTCGCTTCGGATTCAGAATTCTGACATAAGCCAGGCAGCCTCAAGTTCATAAATAAGACAAGGTTGGTTGTCTTTTCTGTAATATCTCATAATGAGATATCTTACTTTTGACTTGAGAACTCTATTCAGGACATAGCAAGCAGTCGATAAAATTTTCCCCACCAATGAGGAGCACCACCAAAATTCATCATAATTGCAACAACAAGTTAAATATGAGTTAAATTCTTTCTTCCTGCTTTACCATTCATTTTAGGAGAGTATGGTAAAGTCATTTCATGTACAATTACATATTTATAAAATTCATTAAATAGTTTGAAATCATATTCATTTCCTCTATCACTACAAAGTCTTTTAATCTTCTTACTAAATTGATTTTCAATTTCACTCACATAAATCTTTAAACATATCATTTTCATTCAGAAAAATATCATTCATAGTGATGTTGTGCAAATTCATCCCAATAGATTGAGATACCCTGCATTATTTAGAATAAAATTATAAACAAGATTCTATATAATCTCTAAAGTATGCATGACATTCTTCAAGATTAAATTCTTTTTTGAATTAGACTCTACTTCACTTCTCCAATACCGACAACTTTTGTGGTGTGAAAAACTCCCAACGACACTTTCTTATATTTTAGCATTCATGTATGTTTTGAACATGGCACGATCATAGCAAACATGACGAGAGGCGCCGATGTCTATCCACCCACCATCAGATCCACCAATCATGTTGATTTCAGTTATCATAGTAATAAATTCTTGATCAGTCAGGTTAACATGTACATTAGATTCAGTTGCATGTTTATGCCTGCTCTTACATCTCTTAGCCACATGGCCCGTATTTCTACAATTAAAAAAGATAAACGTCGGAGCGTCATTTCTTTAAAGTGGTTGTTGCTGCCTAGAAATCAAAGCAGATAGAGCCTTAGAGGGATTCTCATTCTTAATTCGGTTCAAAATATTGTAGTTCTTGTTCTTTAATCATTTTCCAAATGGCTTTAGAACTACATTGAATTTATTTTGGTTGTTTGAAACAACCAAGACTTTTTTCTTATCTTGTCTCTAAGATTCTTCTTCAACTCGAAAACGAATAATCAGACTTTCAATTAAAACTTCTTTTCTTCTGTGGTGAAGCAAAATTTTTAAAACCTTTCAAACTATGGGGAAATTTATCAATAATAAAAACAATTTTAAATTGTTCATCTAAACACATACCTTTTGTGATGATCTTATAAGCAATCTTTTGAATTCGTAACAATGAGCCTCCACAGACCTTTCATTTATACATATGATACTTTAGGTAGCGGCTAACAATATACTTCTTTGTTCCACCTTCTTCAATATCATATTTATTTTGTAGAGCTTCCCATACCTGTTTATCAGTCTCAGAGTTACTGTAGCAATCATACATATCGTCAGCAAAATCGTTTAGAACATGGTTTTTGGAAAGATAACCATTATCTTTCCAGATGGACATTTCTTTTATGAGTTGTAAATCATATGATTTAGCTTTTGCAGCAAAGTCTAATTCGAACGAGTTAATAGTTTCGTCTGAATTCACAGTTTTGTTACCATTAGTTTGTTTGGTTGATAAATAAGGAACAACAAGAATGTTCTTAGTCAAAACGTGTGCAACCTTCTTTAAGGTTACAAAAATGTCATTTTAGCTTGCCAGCGTTTGAAGTGAGAACCCTCAAACTTAAATGATTTGCTAAAGACAGCGGTCGCAAAATTATCAATGACTTCTTCGGTAGCCATGACAATTTTTCAAACGTCTTAAAATTGTTGTTTCACTATTTTTAAAATCAACCAATCAACCACATAAGAAATTATCGGGTCGAGTCAAGAAATAAGTCGCTCTCTTTAAGACGTTTTACGACACTTCCCGAAATTATGCAAAACAGTCGAACTATCGCGCTGCCTCTAAGATAAAACAGTCCAGTTCAATGATGTACGATTACTAGCACGGTAGATAATCGGTCTAAAAATACACCCTCTGATGGTACAAAGACCATTCGAATATGGTATAAATATCACTCGTAGTATCTGGTATAACAACCAATCATAATAATTTCTCAAACAAAGAGAAATTCCAATAATTCTCCAAAGAGAATTCAATGATTGGCATTTGACCACTCAAAATAATTTTTTAAACAAGAGAATCCAGAAATTAATACTTGCAATTTCTCAACTCAAATGAGGAGAAATTAACATAATTCTCTTAAGAGAATTCAAAAAAATATTCGAAAAATTCAACAAATAGAAAGAAATGGGGAGAAGTTGATGTTTCGAAAATTCAAAAGACGCAGCGTTATGAGAGCAGTGAAGAAAAAACTCAACAAAAGGAGTTTTTAGTGTGTTTTGGAATGAAATATCAAATTTTCTTATATAATGAAGTGAGCTAGCTAAAATATCTTATTTAAACAATGTATGACTAAAGAGTTTTTTCAACTAACACACAATATGATACTTAAGAAATTTTTTTAAATTCATCTCTTTATATTTAAATATTGACATGATATTTCAACTTAAACTAATCCATACGATTATTCCATTTATTTCTAAGATATATTTTCAAACTATTTTTTATAAATTGAAAATTTGTTTCACTTACCTTCAAAAATGCATTTCCAAACTCTAAAAAAAATTTGATTTTTCACTCCATCGTGATTCGTGGAAGCATTCAAAGTAGAAAGCTCAACTCCCTTGTTTTTTTCCATTTCCCCTTACCCAATTGTTTTATCTAACATTCTTATTCGTTGAACGTAGGACTTATATACTCAAATATTTCAATGAAAGCAATTATCTATTTTTATTGCATAATTATAGTATTATAATAGAGTAGTTTTCTTTAATACCTAAATTTAGTTTTATTTTTTATATTGAATTCAATATCTGAGTCATGTAGAGTTCATAAAGCTTAATTGTTTAAAACTTTGTAGATATAATTTATTCTAAATAAATTTTATTAAATAGTTGTGTTTTAATTTAAATATTCTAATAAAAATATGATATTAATCAAAACAAATTTTTTGATATGCATAAATTTTAGTTGAATATCGATATTTTTATAGTAAATTACTTTTATGTTTTAACTTTTTAAAAACAAAATAAAATAAAAAAGATGATGTGAGATTGAATACCATTATTTGATTGGATAAGGGTATTATTGTAAAATCCAGTTATATGAATATTTTAAAATGCTATTATCAAATTATTTAAATAATTTTGTTTTAAATTATTAAAAAATAACTTTAAGATATTTAGATCAACCTGATTTCATCTTAAATTAACTCAAATTAACTCAACTTTAACTGATTCATAGATTATGGAACTTGTTTGAACATCTTTAATTAACCCAATCTCCTATTCATAGATTATAGAATGTGTTTGAAATTAAGATGTTCGATCAAAATTTAGAACATAGAGTTGGTCATAGTCCGCCACTACCCATCTCTCTCGCTGATCCCTACTACAAATTAATCTTCTTCTTTTTTAATTTGATAGAAACATTTTAAAATTTATAAAATTTTCCCCAAAAAATAATTTTATTACTCTATTAAAACAAAACAATATTAAAATAAAAGTACTTGAATTTACCGGAATTTGAAATTCCCTAAATTTTCCAACAGCATTGCTATTTGGTTCGACACAAATGTTCGTCAAAACTGATGTTTTTAATATTGGAGAGGTATAACTTCCGAATTTGGTGGAATACATGAGGTAGTAGTGGTATAAATATGTTCATAACAATTGTCAGGTATACCGTGAATTTTCGTTTCGTGATAGAAAGCATTTTCCGTTTTCCATTTACTATGTCCAAAATTGTAGAAACAGTAGAACCCTTAATAGATATTTTACACTCATGTTAATAAGACTTCGTATGTCTTATATACTAGCAATTAACATAACAACAATAGAACCCTCTCAAAAAATAAAAACAATCGAACTCTAACCAAAAAAAAAAAAGAACAGTGGGACTCAAAACAAAGCAATCTCCCTTGCTCATGCTGTAATCTTAAGAAAGTCATAAGATAGCAGAACAAAACTCAGCTAATTAAATTGTAATGTCATTATGACAGTCACTGCTAAAGAATATGACAAAATTAAGTGTCAAAATGAAAAACATGATTGGAAATACTAATGATACCTACAGAAGGGCATGAGCCATATAGTCTGCACATAATTCTTATGCTGGATAGGCCAGGACTAGCTCACAAAAAGATGGCGTCCACCGAACTATGCTGCTTATAATTACTGATCTGATGAACAAAATCTGGACTGGGAATATCAGTGTCTAAACCAAGACAATGGTATACACATACTTTTAGTCAAGAATAAAATACATATCAAAGAAATCAAACTCAATGACGGTAACGACTGGCTTGTGAATCATCATCATGGTAAGGATGTCCCCTTTTAGCTTGATGTTGCTTTGGTAACACCTCATCTAGCGAATCATCATCGTAATGAGGATGTCCCCTTTTAGCTTGACGATGCTTTGGTAAGACCACTTCTGGTAAAACATCATCATAGTGAGGATGTCCCCTTTTAGCTTGACGTTGCTTTGGTAAGACCTCTTCTGGCGAAACATCATTATAATGCGGATGTCTCCTTTTAGCTTGACGTTGCTTTGGTAAGACCTCTTCTGGCGAAACATCATCATAGTGAGGATGTCCCCTTTTAGCTTGCCGTTGCTTTGTTAAGACTGTTAAGACCTCTTCTGGCGATACATCGTCATAGTGAGGATGTTCCCTTATAGCTTGGCGTTGCTTTGGTAAGACCTCTTCTGGTGAAACATCATCATAGTGAGGATGTCTCCTTTTAGCTTGACGTTGCTTTGGTAAGACCTCTTCTGGCGGAACATCATCATAGTGAGGATGTTCCCTTTTAGCTTGAAGTCGCTTTGTTAAGACTGTTAAGACCTCTTCTGGGGAAACATCATCATAGTGAGGATGTCCCCTTATAGCTTGACGTTGCTTTGGTAAGACCTCTTCTGGTGAAAAATCATCATAATGAGGATGCTTTCTATCTAGCAAATCGCCATCATCATCATATTGAGGATGTCCCCTTGGAGCCCGATGTTGTTTTGGTACGATCTCATCTGGCAAATTGGCATCAGCATAGTGAATATGCCCCCTATCTGGCAAATCGTTTTCGTCGTAGTGAGGATGTCCCCTGTTAACTTGATGTTGCTTTGGTATGACCTCATCTGGCGAATCGGCATCAACGTAGTGAGGATGCCCCCTATCAAGCAAATAGTCATCATCATAGTGAAGCTGTCCCCTTTTAGATTGATGTTGCTTTGGTATGATCTCATCTAGCGAATCATCACCATCAACATTATCATCATAGTAAGGACATCCTCTTCTTGCTTGATGTTGCTTTTGTATGACATCATCTAGCGAATCGTCCTCATCATAGTAAGGACGTATACTTTGAGACCGACGTTGCTTTCGACGACGGTCCGGTGAGATCTCATCTGGTGAATAATCTTCATCATAACGAGGATGCCGCCTTATAGCTAGCTGTTTCTTTCGTCGACGGACTCGTAAGACCTCATCTAGTGAATGACCATCATCGTTGTGAGAACGTCTCCTATGAGCTCGAATCACACTGATGGAAGCACATGATGATTTGCGCTCTAGAGTTTTCATGCGATTCATTACCTTGAGCAACTGCTCCTCCAAAAACAGAAAATGTTGTTTTGCCTCAGCTGCCTCCTGACGTGCTGTGGATGCCTCCTGACGAGCTGCGGCAGCTTCCTTACAAGCTGCATCAATGGCCTCAAGATGCATAGCATGATCACACCTGCCACTGTAAGGTTCTCGAGACTCCTGAGTCAGCGAAGTTGCACCATGTCGGAGGTTTATAGCAAAATCTGCAGTGCCATAACAACGACCTCGAGACTTTCCCCCAGCAACCTCTTTCCACAATTCAAGCTTTGTCGCCCCATCTACATTCTGTGTCCCATTCAGGGAGGCCTCACCAATTTGTGTTTCTACTTCCTTCAGACGATCTTGATAATGTTTCTAGTCAAAAGGAAACATAACCTAATATCATTTTGCTCCGAAGTCATATTATATATAAAAAATATAAGGACCAACAACTTACATATGTTATTTGAGAGCGGTTATCAACCCAATTTCCAGATTTCTTTTTATGGGTGGCCAAGAAGAGCTCATCGGGATCCACAGACCGCCCAAGTTCTTGAGCCTGCATAAAAAACCAACAGATTTTAAATTTATAAATATCAGAGTCAATGAACAAGTCGATAACTGTATATTACATACATACCATGCTAAGTGCCACATCAACATGAGCCTTGCGGCCTGTGGTGTGGACTGCTCCACCTTTACCTGAAGCCCGATTGGTCTTATTTTGGGTAGAGATCTTTAGAAAGGCTTCACCCTCCCAATGGACAATAAGACCCTTCCAAGCCTCCTCACATATCCAATGAGGCCTTGTCCCCTTCTTCCTCACTTTTGAGAGAATATCTGAAAGGCGTTTTGCGCTTCTTGACTGAAACGTCTTTTTGATATACACGTGATCATGAGGATCCCAAGCAACCTTGTCCTAAAAAAGAAGGAATCTAACTAGTTATCATTAAGTAGGTGCAACTAGTTCGTAATTAAATAAGTTAAATTAAATAAATGCAACTGACCCCAAACAACTTCCACCAATATTCCCTTACATCCTCTGGGGTCTCACTCCAACAATGAAATGGACCAGGAAAGTGGGACTGGATGACCTGTTTAATCGCAGCAGCAGGCGCTGCGCTAGGAGCCCACCTACAAAAAATCCAAACTCAATGTCAACGATCAATCTATCTATCTAAGTGTATGTGTGTGTGTAAAGTGCTTAGAGAACAAAACAAACATTATAACTTACCCTAACCCACATGGTCGTATAAGAACCTTCCCATCAGCATTCTGCTTATTTGTATCCATTTCTTGAGTTTTGGGATCCTCCTCGTCTCCTGACTCATCCGTGTCAGGAGTTTTGGGATCCTCCTCTTCCGACAACTCCATATGAGGAGTTTTAGGATCCTCCTCCTGCACCACCACCTCCTCCTCCCCCATATGTTCACTACTATTTGATTGATTCATTGGACAAATATTTTGCTCTAGTTCTCCGTGCTCAGTCCAGATCGAATAGTTTGGTTTAAACCCACTTTTGTACAAATGAGCTTTCACATCTCCTGGAGTGAAAGACTTTACACACTTGCACATTTCACATGGACACTTGATCTTTTTCTCAGACAAAAAGCAGGGTTGTTCCTTCGCCTTCTTAATAAACTCCTGAACTCCACTAACAAACTCAAATTTCAAGCCTCTCCTATGTGGATTGAACCTATCATACATCCAACTACGATCCATTACCTGCATATTAGGCATATAATTATTGGCCACTAGGGTAACTGCTCAAACTTTAAAATTTTCGACAACACAACCCCCTGTATTATAGGCAATTGCAAAAAGAATCCTAGAAATAAAAGTGTATATATAATAAATATGTGCATAGTTTCTGAATTATCAGCACACAGCTAACATAATGGATCTTAGATAGGATCACAGTCTGCGGAGCTCAGCTCTCCACTAACAAACAACACATCTATCAAACAAATACATGAAAGTTTATCAAATTATCGGCACACAACCAACATCTTATTGAGCTTTGCTCTCTCCACTATCATTCCAAAAAAAATATGTCACATTAACAACAACGACTACCAACTACCAAGCCTTATCTCACTAAGTGAAGTCAGTTACCTGGATCAAATTACACCATTATTTTCTATCAAAGCATGATTCTATCCAATTTGTTAAACTCGAGATCTTTCTTAATATTGCTTACGCACCTCGAATTCCTAATATAAGCTATGAGTGTAACAGAGTTAAGTGACAAACAAAATTAAAGAAGAGCCGTTGAGGAACAAACCCACATCAACTTAGTACTGTATGTTTAAAGTTCTGTGGTATAATAGAGTTATTTATTTTCTAATCAACTCCACTGTACATTTTACTTCGGAGGTTCGATAATTTACTTGCTTTTGCTTAGGAAATTCTGTTACTAACTACCAAGTTAAGTTTCACCATAATGATCTAATGTGGTAAAAAAAAACATAATCGGAAACCAGAAAACTAAGGTAACACTATATGATTTACTGCAAATGGTTGAGCTTAAAGCTCCAACAATGGTGAAAAACAGAAAAAGAAAATGTAAACCAGAGTTCGATGAACTCCTAAACCAGAGCTAAGCCTCTAAATCTCTTAAAGAGAGAAATCTCTCCTAATTGACTTTCTAACAATATTTCTGAATACCTTACAAGCAACACATGTAACTAAAAGTGAAAAGTTTAAGCATAACTCAATAGCAAAAAAATCAGCACAGCAAACAATGATAGTAAGACCGAATATAACTAAGCTAATTAAATAAATTTTTAAAATGATTAGGGTTCCAGAGCTCAGTGGTTAGTTAATTAGCTTAGAAGTTATCATTCAAGGAGTCAAATCCAAAATTAAGAAACCTAAAACTTAGCCCTAATTAGATAATGTAGAGAAAATAACACAGACCTTGCGTTGCGAGATGTGGTGGAGGCTATAGGAGGCCGCTTGCAGCTTCACGGATGGTGGTTCTTGGCGGCGACAGGGAGAGACGGAATGGGAGTGTAGAGATGGGTTTACTGCTTCAGCATAGTGTAGCGTCCACTTCGATCGCGCTAAATTTCATCTAAAAAATGTGTAGCGTCGATACTTTAAAAGAAGATATATTGTTTCGTAGATTCTCAAAGCGTCGGACAACATAGAAAATATTTATGGACGTTTATTTTAAGACTTTAAAAATATTAAAAGTTTAAATATGATATTACTTGAGAAAAATTTTAGGGTGTGTTTGGTTGGGGGTAAATGGAGGGGAGACGAGGGGAAAGAATATTTAATAACTTATGTGTTTGGTTCAAATTTTAAGAAGGGAATGAGAGGTAGATGGAGAAGACCAAAATCTCTCCTGAATCACTTTTTATTTCCCTCCAATTTGGAGGGATTTGAAGGAGATGAGAGGTGCTTGATTTTAATTATAATTATATTTAGATATTTATCCTTATTATTTATTTAAATATAAATTTAACTTATAACAATGTCAAAAAATTTATTTTAAACAAATTTAATCTTTTTTTTTATATTTTTTGTATTTTTTATATTTTTATCTTACTATTATCATATATGTTTAAATTTTTTATTTTATTTTTCATATTTTAATGTTAATTTTAGTCATCGTAATGTTTTTGTTTATAATAATAGGGGGGAAAACTGTAATTTAGCCAATTATATATTATAATCGCTGTATTTTTATAAAATATTTCATGATAATCTCTGATTGAATATTTATATTTCGTCAATAAATTTGTATTTGAATTATAAATGGTAAATATCACAAGTCTTATAGTAAAACTATAAGGATAAAAAAGTAAATTAGTTTTAAAATACCTCCCCTTCCCCCTGAACCAAACATATTTGTAAATAAAATGTCTCACCTCCCCTCCCCTTTCATATTTTAAACCAAACATATATGTAATTAAAATTCCTCTCTTCCCTTCCCTTCCCCTCCCCTTGATAAAAATCCCTCTCCTCGCATCCCCTCGATTGAACCAAACAGACCCTTAAGGAGGGGATGTGTGGATTATGAGGAGATCAACATTAGCAAAGGTGTTAAGTTATTCCAAGAAATAAGTATTTTGAGTTATATTAGAAGGTGTGGATAATTTTAAACATAATGTATTTAAAAATGATATTTTTAATATTGTAGGTTAACATCTTTATGATATTTATTCAAGAGTTTTTTAATGAGGTTGGTATTGAAAGATAAATCTGTGTAGTAAGATGACTCAATAATACAAATGTTTTTGACTTGTGAACATAGTAAAAATATTTAATTGTCAGGCGAAGGTCATATATCTAAACATAATCTACAAGAGCGAAAGAGGACAAAAGAAGTCCAATGGTTATATTAAAAAAAAGATGAGTATGATCCAAGTCTCGAATTAAATTTATCTTTTAACATGTTATTTGCTTTGATAATAGATTTACAAGTGAAAAAATCTATATACATTGGAAGAGCAGAGGAGTAAAAGGGCATCAAACAAATATTTATGAAAGAGTAAGCATGCCCTTTGGATGCCTAAGATTGAATTAAGTTAATTGGTTTTAGTCAATGGAATGCTATAAGAATAAAATGTACGAGAGTAACAATATTAATCTTCATATTTAATGGACGAATAAAATTGTTCAAAAGGGTGACAATAACTCTGATTTGAGAATTTTTGCCTTTGCAAAAAGGAGAATATCGTCCGCAAACAGAAGATAAGACACATGAGGTCCATTGTTAGATATGAAAATAGGACTTTAGGAACCACTGCGAACAACATCAATCATGGCAATAGAAAGTTTATTTATGCCGATGACGAATAGGTACAACAATAACGAATCTTCTTGTTGAATACCATGTGAAGGCTTAAAGGTTGGAATTTTATTTTCAGTTCATAAATAGATATTATTTTGAGCCTTAAAAAGGCCAAAAATTCAAAGCCCACCCAGATATAAGTCTAATCAGAACAATCCAACATATAAAAGTCAGCACACGTGATATTCAAGGTACATTTTTGTGATCTCAACTTTTTACACACTCATCTTGAATTTGAATTGACTTGGATGTTGGATTGCTAACTTTGCAGATCCATTTCGCGCCATCACATCGAAGATAAGCACAACCAATTTAGGATCCCTCATCATTGGTATACACCAATTATGGTTCCACAATGAAATGTTGGCAGCCTCTGGGAAATCGACTCCTAATTTTCGTGAAATTCCATAAGTAGATCATCCTCGATCCAAAGCCAAATATCCACCAGAACTGAGAGAATGAGACAATAAATTCATATGTCTCAATTAGGAGATATGGTGGATATTCTGATTTTATTCCACCTTAAATGATTGTCGTCATTGATATCTACAATGTGGCAAAATTTGGTGAAAATTTGTTATCAAAACATCTCTTCCAAACAACAATTGATACTAAACTATGAGACAGGGATCAAGTGGGATTAGGACATCTAAGACGTGAGAGGACAAGCAGGACCTCAAGTGTGGGGTCGCCTTTAGTTAGATCATCCTTTAGAGTTGATGAAATAGTTAGTGAAATGCTTATGAGATACCTTATAGACGACTAAATTCCCATATCAACTTCTGATCTGGTGCGATCGAACAATTAAATTTTATGTTAATCATATATGAACGCATACGAAGATGGAGATCCTTTGAACTTTGATGATTCAATGATGTACCCTTGTAGAGGAATAGATCTAACATAATCGATAAAGAAGGAGAAAGTGACAGAAAGGTGTATTCTTCTTTTTGGTAATTTTGTGTGAGGTGCCATGAAATACGTCCTCGTTGGGTTAAATGCCTCGCTTTCGGCAAATCGCTTTGAGATAATATACAGAGAATGAAAACCAATCTCAAACAATGTCGACGAAAAATGGACGTATTGAGGAAGGTGCCTTCGGGGAACTCAATTACTTCTCCAATAGTGATTTCAGAGTTAGCCACATCAAATATAGTCCAGTCGGATATGGGGAGATAGTCTTCGACCACCTTTTGAACACACTATTGTCTTAACTTTGGAAGATCGCTAGATACCAACGTCGACCATAAGGTAAATAAACAAAAGGGATGAACAACTCATTTTATCGTTCATAAGAGTCAGTCGAAAGCGTTCACTCGTAAATAACTTGACTTCTACGACCATGGGTAAGCAAGATAGTTACAAATACATTGGTCACCCAACATTGCCCCTCGAACAAAGGTACATAGATGGGACCCCACAAGATACAAACGCAACTGCCGAGTACCTATAGAGGAATGTCGCGTTTGCGGCATCAAAATCACACATCTTTGTAAAGCAAATCTGATCGATAGACATTTCCATGATAATAATCCTTAATTATACAGCCAGTAAAAGAGAAGCATAACATGTTTTGTTTGCGATTTTCTAGACAATATAAGTATTTTGCAAAGTTTTTTAATTTGATAATGTATGGTTATATTTACAAAAGGCATTGCCTATGACGACGTTGTATGGCCACCCTAGAAGAGGCAGCGATGAAAGGTCGCCTAGAGGAAGATATCGCCTCGCCTATGAGTCTTCCCTCGCCCATACAATAAAAACATGGGATAAGACGTGTTTTGGATAAAGAGAAAGTCAAGAATGTTACTGACCCACCTCTCCATTAGAAATAGGAATTCAACTGTCCATTATTTGACTAAGTGGGCGATGGCCTTTTCCAAGGGAACCGAAGGTCTTATAGACCCCTATAAATACA